TTATTATCTGAGTTTTTAATATCTAAAATATTTATAATTTCATCTATTGAAATTTTATAAATATTCAATTCTTCTAATATATTTTTTTTATTTAATATTTCTTCTTGATTTAAGTGAATATTAGAATTATTTATTTTTTTCTCTTGAATCAATAAATTCGTTAATTCTTGATTCTTTATCTTCTTCTGATTTAATTAAGTATTTAAGATATTTATTTGAGGAATTAATTGATTATTTTTATTTTTTTCTTGGTTTTGTTGATTGATTAAATTTGTTTTTTCTTGATTTAATTTTTCTATTAATGATTTTTTTTCATTTATAGCATTGGTTAATACTGTAATTTGATCTTTATATTTTTGTAATCTATGTTGTGGACTTCGAAATCCATGAAAAGCCATAGTTAAAACAAAATAAATTTTTAAATAAAATTATTTTAGTTATTTATATTTTTTTTTACATATTCACGATATTCAATGATTTTATCTAATTTGATATCAATATCTTCTTGATATGAAAAAAATATATCAAGATTTGTTAATATTTGATCAAGTTTTGATAATTTTTTATTTAAATCTTGAATTATGATATTTTTTTCATATATTTGATGTTTTAATAATTTAATCTCATGTTTATCATCACCTCTTTTTTTCGAATTGTATCATTGATATTATTCAGATAATGAGTAAGTGTTTCGATATAATTAGTGATATAAATATATCCTTCTCTAATACTAGACATGTAGAAATTTAAAAATTTGGAATTTGGATAATGCCAACAAATGTCTTTATCTTCTATATAAATGTTTAACTCAAGTTCTTCATAATAAACTATAACTCAAGAATACTTCTTTGTATTTGTAAAATATATGATTGAGACAAAAAACCTATCTTAAATATTTATGTAGATATATTTGTATTAAATAAATATTAAATTGAGAAAATTATTTAAATATCTTAAGTGAGTTAAATTATAACCAATCAAAATTAATGAAGATCATAAAAAAAAACAAAATTAAATATTTTTTTTTATTCTTAATTTGGTATTATTGTTACATAAATCAAGTTTATATATTATTTTGTTTACATGCATAATAATTATAAATAATAAAAATCTAGATGATCTTTTTTTTCTTTATAAATGAAAAAAATTACTATCGAAGGTTAATATTTCTTTTTTTTTACGTATACTTTTTTTAAAAACATGATTAGAAACAATGCTAGCTAAGTCTAAAACTAAATTCTAACTATTTCTGATAACATATTCTCAAGTCTTTCATTAAAATCTTCTCAACCTCTGTTATCAACTTAGTTCTCAACTAATTTAATTAGTTTTTTTCTCTTGTCAACTTCCTTTTGTTTAGACTTATGATTTTTATTTTTAATTTTTTTTTTAATTATTTATTTTAAAATATATATTAACTATTTTTTATATTATTATAGGTAATAAAAATGTCATATATCATCGATGATATCGACTTAATAATCGAACAAAACAACAATCTCCAAAGCTCTTTGATTCAAATACGAAAAAAAATTAATGAAACAAAGAATAAAGTTAAATCTAAACAAAGTCTTAAAGATATTATCGAGAAAACAAAACCAAATATTACTAAAAATGATCAAAATAGTTTAGATATTTAAAGATTAAATATTAGTATTAAAGGATGGAAATCTAATCTTTCACTTTATGAAAATGTTAAGAATCTTTATAATGAATTAGAAGAATATAAAGATAAATATTATAAACTTAATACTAAATACAATAGTTTAGTTCATAAAGAATAGTTTTTTTATTGTATTTTCTTATAATAAATTCTTAAT